AGCAAATCTGAAATTGGGAAATATGGTTAAATTACCAGATGTCCAGGTACCTGATATGTGTATGATTTTTTAAGTTAAATAATATTCTGAAATTACATGTTTGTTAATTAAAATTTTTTTCCAATTAATCTATTTCGATATTTTCTATAAGCTTATAATAAATAAAATATAACAAAAAAAAAAATTACATTGTTTGCTAAATGCTAGCTAATATTTGGGTTTATGCAGATCAAATCATATTAGATCTGTTCGATCTAAAGTTTTAATCATTCAATTTATTATATAATCTAAGTAAACTTATTTAAGACTAGATTATAATAAATATTACATAAAAAAAAAGAATTATTTTGATTTATGTTTCATATTTTTTTTTCGTTTTGACCTTTTTTTGGTTTTTATTTTTCTTTCTTTTACTAGAATTTGTTCTATTTTGAATTTCTTTTTCATTATTACTTTCATCTTCAATATCATTATCACTATTATCACTATTATCTTCAGTATCATAGTCATATACCGGAATATTAACATTTGAATAGTTAAATCATTCAAGTATTTTCTGATTAAGGTACCAACTTGGTACACCTATGAGTGGCATATTAGATGTATCGTATTTTGATTGACTTGATTGAGCTCTTTTACGTTTTAAAGTTGATGGTTTCTTTTTAATAATTTGACTGTTGGATCAATATTAGTATTTTTAATAAATAAAACAAGACATATACACTATGTGTTTGAACACCATTTCCAAAAAAGTAAATTTGTATGCTGATCATTTAATTATACTAAGAGTATGAACACAGATCAAGTATCAATGCCTGATATAGTAATGACCCTGTTGATCAACTGAAAACTCCCAGAAGAAAGATAAACAAAAGGCGCATGTTACAGATGATAAACAAATCACGAACCAATCAACGAAGGAAAACCTGATGTGAAAACATCAGCCATAAATTCCCATAAGGGAAAGAAATCATCTGAACTGGAAGCTACACAGATACTGACAGGATACGAAACTGTCGGAGAGGAGCAAGAGCGAATCTGAGACATTATAGTTTACGATATCCTGTATACCTGGGACTTGCAGAAAATTATAGCAGAGTTAAAACTTTGGGGGAATACTATCAAGTGTTCAGTTAAACGCCAACAAAAGTATCAGACTCTTCGAGTCAAGATAGAACTTTCCTCCTTTGCCTTTCCCCAGTTTAATAAATATTGGACGACAGACCTGGGAGGTATACCCGTTAGATGGTTCCCTGCAAGTTGGACTTTATGAGAAAGAAAACAACGTGAAAAGTTCCAAGCCATTATTTATGACATTCCGGCTACCTTGTGGATGGACCGTAAACCATGTGAATTTTAATGAAGTGCGGTGCTAGCTCATTTAAAATAATTCAAACAAGTAAAGGAAGAAGGAAACTTGTGGCCTATTTTGAGAATTGGGAGACCACACTAAGGGCCTTAGATACGCCACAGTTTTTCGTACCTGATGGTAAGGAGTTGAAATGGTGTCGACACTCCATTCCTACCTTGAAGAAAGCACAAAGTAAACCGAAAGCTAAAAATACACCAAATACGAAAAAGTCAGGTAAGTCTGACAAGAATTTGGATCATAATCAGCTTAAGAAGAAGGATAAACCTTCATCCTCGAAAGAAGTCTCTAAAAATAATAACCAGGAGAAGAAACGCCTGAATACTCAGAAGAAGGCAAAGAATTCCTCGAAGAATAAGGGTAATAATAAAGACAACAAGGCGGTTTTAGCAGAAATTTTGGCTTTATTACAGAAACTAGTTTAGCCTATGCTTTTATTAGCGGTTTTACAAATTTCAGAATTGTATTATTTTTAGGATAGAATATATTTATGTTTAGTGCCACAATTTCTTGAATAGGGGACTTGTCCTCTCCACTTTTTTTTATTTTTCCCAGTGTGTTCGCCTGGCCTTTTATCGGACGTGGTAGTGGTTCAGGTCTTTTTTCTCAGGAAGTTAGGGTCAGTTTCCAGCTCCTCTGGTACTCGATGGTAGATTGATTCATTTAGGTTGTACTTATATCTAGTATATTTAGTCATGCCTTTGTATATTTTCTCTCCCCGCTTCACATAAAATAAATTTTTAGGATAGAATATGTTTATGTGTCGCACCACAATTTCTTGGAAAGAGGACTTGTCCTCTCCACTTTTTTTCCCCCTCCTTTTTTTTTATCCAGTGTGTTCGCCTGGACTGTTATTGGACGTGGTAGTAGTGCAGGTCTTTTTTTTTTTTCAAGAAGTTCGGGTTGGCTTCCAGCTTCTCTGGTTGTCGATGGTAGATTTTTGGATAGGTTGTACTTATATAGTCATGCCTTTGTACATTTCTCTACCGGCTTCATATAAAATAAATAAATAAATAAACCAATGAATTTATTTTTAATAAAGTTTAGTAAACTCCATTAACAACACATTAATAAAATCAATTGTGCTACATGTGACATACAAGTTTGTTCTCTACAAATTCTAATGCTTCTAACAACTCAAAAACTTCAACCTAACAACTTACCAATTCTAACTAACATTCTTAATGACCAACAATCCTAACAACATCATTCTAATAATCCTAATTACTTAACAGCTAACATAACGATTCTCACTAATGCTCCTTCCTGACAATCAATAATCCTAATTTCTAACACTCCTAACGCTCCTAATGCTCATAATGCTCCTACTAAATCCTAACGTTCCTAATGCTAACATTATAATAATCTAATAACTCTAACATTAGTTAACGTTATCAAATTTTAACAACTTGAACTCAAAATTTTAATGAATCACGAACCTCTAGCCCAAGATGATTACATCAAGGTTTGGCAAGTTTTAGCATAATGTCCATACTGTTTGCATTTCTTACACTTACGTCCTTTACTACCTTCTGCTGCATTTTCATCGCTATAGATATTGATTTGCTGTGTGTTATTTCTTGATACATGTTTTCCTTTAGAAGAGGATTGCTCAACATTTGATTGCAACCTTTTTGGTGGACGCCCTTTATGTTTAGTAATGTTGGAATTATTAGCATCAAGAATGTAATCTGTTTGCTTTTTGCAAAATTTGTTTTGTATATCACAAAGAAATATTTTTAACATATTAGATAGCTCTTGGTACATGTCAGCTTTAATAGCTGAATCAATAACTTTTTTTGATAATCCAAACAACTCCGCATATATAATTTTGTTTGGTGTTGTTGTTGAACTAGAATTATTGTTTGATATGGATCGAATTGAAAACAAATGTTTAAATGTACCATTAGTAAGAGGAAAATTTTCTTCTGAATTAGTTGTAGAACATAATATAATGGCTGGCATTTGTTGTAAAAGTGCTTCTTGATTGACATGAGGTTCAAGATACCAGCGAGATGGTATAAGAGTTATATGATAGGTAGCTGATTGAGAATAAGTTGCCACACGAAAGAAATGGTGACATATTAAGCCTTTATTTATTAATAAAAGACATGTACACAAATGTGTACCATCATTTAATAACACTACATAATGACCGATGCCTGATGTTCCTGTAGCTCGAACATGCCACACTTCCAATATTGTTTCTTGAATTACATCATTAATCAATGATTTAAAAAGAATTTGTCAAATATCTTGCTCTTGTTCTCGACCAATATGATCTCAATATTAAAACAAAAAAAAAATAAACAGTATTCATTACCTTACCTCTAATAACTGTAGCCAATCCACAATACGATTCAAATCATAACACACAGATTGGTTCATTTGCATTCTCTGTTTTCACAACATAATAGGATAAATATTGCTTAATGATATCATCTGCCCGCCCAAAAAATCTATTATGTAACATCGGTAAACCAACAGTTGGTAAATCGTTACATGCAAGTTCAAATTTTTCAAAATGCTCTTCGCATTTAACATAATCGTTCATGTTAATCACTAAAACACATAAACTATCGACCCTATCATGAATTTGCTTGTTAATAGATTCAATTCTTTGTGTGCTTTGTACACCAGCTGTAAATTGATTACGAATCCATGGGATGGCCCATGACTCTTTATTAATATAAAGAGTATTAGACATGTATTTAGCTGATTCAGGGTATTGTTCAAGTAATTGCACCCATCGAGATTCAAATAACTCTTCACATAACGAATTTCGACAAGTATAAAATTTGTGTTAAAGCGAACCCCCAATTTTCCTTTAAGTTTTTTGCGAAGATTCAAATCGATATGAAAAATACATAACAAATGATTTGTGTTGGGATGTATTTCCTTAATTGCACTGATCAAAGATGGATCTGAGTCAGTAAATATAACTCCGGGATTAACACCTGTTTCTTCAAATAATGTCATTAACATCCATTGAAATGTATCTAATGTTTCATCTTCTATAATCGCGGAAGCTACAATTCTTGTCTTGAAATGATTATCAATGACGATAATAACACAAAGCATCATCCAGAACCGATTGGTATTTGATGTGGTATCCAAAATTATAACGTCATGGAAACTTTCGTATAAAGATTGTTGTTGTGGTGACATCCACAATAGATGGCTCAACTTTCTTGATGAAAGTTCTAAGCGTGGTTTAACAATTCATAATGGATCTAAATCTTTCTGATTTAACAGCCTGATCTGTAACATTTAAGATGCATCTAAACCACCTGGATTGTTTTTTAGCCGAAATTGGTATACTGCATTGTATAAATCTTTTTTAAAGATAGTATTGTCAGGGTAGTCATGCATGAGTAATGGATAAATGGATCCAGAATCCATTCGTCCTTGTATGACATATTTTTTTATGTCGGATAACATTTCTGGAGTTAATTTTCGAAAACGTGGAGCCATTTCTATTATGATCATCAATGAATGAATTAATTTTAACAATATTACTTGTCTTAGGACAAGTAGCATTAATTTTCCATGGGCATTGTCCGATCTTGAACATTCGTAAGTAATATGACGTATTACTTCTCCTTCCATTTGACTAGTCCTAATCTTATAGTTAAATCCTAAAATCATCAATCCAGGTATTAAATTCTTGCCAATTTGTAAAGGTAAGTCCAGTCTTTAACTCTAAATCGTCTATTACTTCTGAATCAGAATCAGAACCATCATCTAAAGAATGTTGCTGCTTGGTTACATCATGCTGATAATGATCACCTCCAAATTCGTCACTAGAATTGAAGTTATACAAAGACCGCTAACAAACAAAATGAAAGTATTAGTGAAAGCAACTAAGCCAGACATAGTTACTAAAAAACCAAAAATTACTTGAGAGAAAGCAGCATCACAGTCCATATTAATATCATCGCGAATTTCTTGTTCTAGTTCTTTTGAATAAGCATTTATACTAACATCTTTTATTTGAAACTCATTAAAGTCGTACAAATGTTGAATGGAAAACTAACGAACAAAAAAAAAATAATAGTTGGCAAAAAGCAAAGAAATATGATTAAAGTTGAGCAGAGTTACTAAAAAACAGAAATTTTAGTACTTGAGAAATAGAAGTTTTATAGTTTATATTTCTATCATCATAGATTTCTTGTTCCTCATCAATATCGAATATTAATAGGTTTGATATATCTTGCAACATTTTAATATGTGGTTTTTAACTCTATGAAGCTTTTTTTTGTATTTTTGTAAGACAAACAGAAAGACTGAGAATTTAGAAGGAAAGAAGAGCGAGTAAGTATGACAACATATGTAATTCGCGTAGTAATGATATAAATATACCCGCGTAACGTGTTTATCTAACACAAATCATATGATGAGTGTTTTGCACACTAGTTTTATATAAAAATAAAATAAAATAAAACTAGTGTACGAAACACGCATTTTAATGTGTTTCGCACACTAGTGTACAATAAGAAATCTTCATAAAACAAATAAAATAAAAAATATGAGAACGCCACCATTTATTATGAATGTATATTGATAATGACTTTTGTTTTATAGCTTCCTCAATAATTTCATCATCTTCAACTACTGCAGATTGCATAATAAGCCATTCTTTTTCAGGATCAGTTTCTTCCCACTCTTCTGAGTGGTAACCTGAGTCCTTAAGAATCTTTACTAGATCCTTTTCCAGATACCTAAGAATATATTTATTTTTGCATGCGTTCTTCTTTTCTTTTTCTAATAATGTAATTATAAATCTATTTCATATTAATTAAATATTTACTTACCTCTTGCATTCTTGAATTTTAACTTGCTCTTCTATTGTCTTGTTTAACTCTTTCATCTCCTTGATTTTTAATATTACTTGTACGATGTCTAGAACACCACCATCCATATAACATTTTTAGTAATTTGCTATTCATAATGCTGTATTTTTTATTTACAATCTTATATAGAGGTGGTAGTAGCTTTGTAACTATATTTTCCTTTTGTTTGACCCAAGTTTGTTTCTCATCTATTTTATAGATATCTTTTAATTCTGAATCGACCCATATAAAAACTTCTTGCTATAAATAATAGGCAAACGTAAATAAAATAAAAAAAAATAAATAAATTATAATAAATAATACTTGCTTTAATCGTTTTATATGATGATAAAGATGAATATGAAGAGGAAGCTGATCACTATCTATTATTACTTATATATTTTAGTTGAAATATAAAACTTTGATTGAGAAGAGGAGAAAAAGGTTTGTGTGTAAATTTATATTGATTTCAGAATCATAAAAACACGAAGAACATGAATATGTAAATGATTGCACAATTGCACAAGATGTGTGAACAAGAATTAAACACAAACTGATTCTAATCTAAAAAAAAAACTAACTGCGAACTGATTCTAATCTAAAAAAAATTAAACACGAACTGATTTAATCTAAAAAAGAATTAAATGCAAACTAAGAAAAACGTGACCCTAAAAGAAGAATTGAATGTGTAATTGATCTCAAAAGGTATTGAACGCGAATTCTGATTTTGAAAATAAGCTTCATTTAAATAATTGTAACTTTAACTTTCTTGACAATTTAACAAAATACACTTGCATTTTAGTAAATATATTTTAATAAAATGAATAATAAAAAAAGCAAAACCTCTATCTCTACCTCTGTATCTGATTTAGTAAAATCCAAAAAAACTAAAATCAAAACTTCTGTATCTGATTTGATAAAATCCAAAAAAAGATATCTGTATCCATGTTTTTGTATTCGTTGTGATGGCGCAGAGGTTAATTTTCGCACTCAAGAAAATCACACAAAGGAGAAAAGTTTATGGAACTCAGAGAATGCTAGAAAAAATCAGGCAGATACTATTATAGCGAGAAAATAAAAAAAATCCATTATTATCAGATGCAAATCCTACAAAAATGCGAAAAAGGGCATTAAGTCTTAATCCTAATTCTTTCTAACAAAATAATATCTTTAATCTTTCCAATGAAGAAACTGATTCATCCCAACCAAATAATAATGAAAACATACATATATTATTTTCATCATCACTATTATTGCCAAATCCTTCTTATTTTCATGTTCCAGCACTTGATGAAAACAAGGATAACAATGAATATATATATTATAATGAAGAAGAAGAAAATGATGATGATGAGGATGACGGTAATGAAGATGATGGTGATAAAAATGATGATGATGAGAATGATGGTGATGAGAATGATGGTGATGAGAATAACAGTGATGAGAAAAAAAAAAAACTCTTTCCCGAATACATTTTTTACGAAAATTTCTGCGTAATAATTTTTTTTAAAAAATAATCCCCTTTATTAAATTTTATTACATAAATATAAAAATGTCTATGGATAAGAGCCGAACACCAAACGAAGAAGCTTTAGACTTCGTTTCCTTGTTTAACGAACAATATTTTCACACTGTTACATATCACTTAAGTTCTTTTGTACAGGACGGTTTCTTCAAGGACTTATTTGAAAAAAACCCCTCAGTACCTAAGGATAAAGCCCAGATACTGATAGAAAGGTTTGGCGAATAAGCCAACCCCATGAACTTCACTACACAAGCTCAAGCTACAAATATACAACCTACCACCCTTTCGCTAATATTTTCTATAGTGCTATATGCTGCGTCCAGGTCTTGGGATAATTTTTCTACCCAATTCTATTGCAAATTTGGCGATACTGGTGATGATGATGATGACGAAGATAGGGAATCTCAGGATACTGATGATTACCTAATGGATGCGTCACCGTTTCTTGATCAAGATGTAGATGATCTAATACGCCAAGGATTCCAAAAACCACCAAATCCAGTACCTATCAAGCTTCCATCAATGCCTGATATAGTAATGCCCCCTGTTGATCAAACTGTAATACCTGAAAATTCCCGGAAGAAAGATAAACAAAAGGCGCGTATTACAGATGATAAACAAGTTGCGAACCAATCAACAAAGGCAAAACCTGATGTGAAAACATCAGCCAAAAATTCCCATAAAGGAAAGAAATCATCCGAACTGGAGGCTACACAGATACTGATAGGATACGAAGCTGTCAGAGAGGAGCTTGAGCGAATCCAAGACATAATAGTTTACGATATCCCGTATACCTGGGACCTGCCAAAAATACTAGCAGAGTTAAAACTTTGGGGAACGCTATTAAATGTTCTGTTAAACGGCAACATAAGTATCAGACTCTTCAAGTCAAAATAGCACTTTCCTCTTTTGCCCTTCCCCAGTTTAATAAATATTGGACGACAGACCTGGGAGGTATATCCATTAGATGGTTCCCTGCGAGTTGAACTTTACGAGAAAGGAAACAACGTGAAAAGTTCCGGAGGATATGACGATGGCTACCTTGTGGATGGACCGTAAACCATGTGAATTTTTAATGAAGTGCGGTGCCAGCTCATTTAAAATTATTCAAACAAGCAAAGGAAGGAGGAAACTTGTGGCCTATTTCGAGAATTGGGAGACCACACTAAGGGCCTTAGATACGCCACAGTTTTTCGTACCTGATGGTAAGTAGTTGAAATGGTGTCGACACTCCATTCCTACCTTGAAGAAAGCACAAAGTAAACCGAAGGCTAAAAATACACTGAATATGAAAACGTCAGGTAAGTCTGATAAGAATTTGGACAGTAATCAGCCTAAGAAGAAGGATAAACCTACATCCTCGAAGAAAGTCCTGAAAAATAATAACCAGGAGGAGAAACACCCAAAGAATCAGAAGAAGGCAAAGAATACCTCGAAGATTAAGGGTGGTAATAAAGATAACAAGGCGGTTTTAGCAGAGATTTTAACTTTATTACAGAAACTAGTTTAGCCTACGCTTTGATTAGCGGTTTTACAAATTTCAGAATTGTATTATTTTTTAGGATAGAATATGTTTATGTGTATGCATCACAATTTCTTGGAAAGGGGACTTGTCCTCTCCACTTTTTTTCCCCCCCTATTTTTACCCAGTGTGTTCTCCTGGATTATTATCGGTAGTGGTAGTAGTACAGGTCTTTTATTTTCAAGAAGTTCGGGTTGGGCTCCAGCTCCTCTGGAATTCGATGGTAGGATTTAGTTGGGTTGTATTACTTCGGAATCATGCTCAGTTTTGTATCCCTGCCGGCTTCACATAAAATAAATACAGTGATGAGAATGATGGTGATGAGAATGACGGTGATGAGGATAATGGTAATGAGAATGATGGTGATGAGAATGATGATGGTGAAGATGAAGATGATTATAATGAAGAAGAATTTTTTGCATCTCCTGAAATTGATAATGATGAAGTATTTGTGATGGAAAACTTAAGTGATTCTATTAATACTGAAATTATAATATGGTTATTTAAATTTCAACAAAGATTTCGATTACCTCTTGAAGCATTAATAAAATTCTTATATATTATACTTATTCGTTTAAATAAATCGCAAAAAAAATGTTAAATATCTTTCAACCAAAAATGCAGTTAGCTGTATGCAACAATTTTCATGAATTATATAATGTTAAAAATATTGTTGAATACAAAGAAGAAGGAAAAGCTGCTATTGCAAATTTCCTACATGAAGAATTCCCAAATAATCCAGTACCCAGTCATCGTAATAAATGCAATAATCCACTTTCTATTCTTAAAAAAAGAGAAAGTGAAATAATTGTTGAATCTCGTATGATTTACCCTAAACCAAGTATTCGTCAGCAATTGAGTATGTTATACCAATGACCTGGTTTCAAAAATATGCTAAATTATCAGGAATTCAAAGAGAAGGGGTTAATATCTATTCAGATATTTATGATGGTAATGTGTGGAAAACCTTTTCTTTTGATGGTAATCCATTTTTTACATCAGAAACTGCTACCACCAATTTAGGTCTTCTTATTAACCTTAACTGGTTTCAACTGTTTACATATACACAACACAGTACAGGTGCTATATATGCATCTATTTGTAACTTATCAAGATCAGAAAGGAATAAACCTGAAAATATTATATATTTGGATTTTTTGCCAGGTCCAAAAGAGGTGAGATTAGATCGTATTAATCATTATTTAGCTCCTATTGTAGATGAACTTTTAGAGCTCTGGAAGGGCTGGAGGATTCCAAAAACTCACCATTATCCTGATGGTTTAGACATTAAAGTTGCATTAATTGTTGGATCATCAGACATACCAGCCACACGAAAGAAACGTAGTTTTTATAGTGAAGAGTATAGAAAAAATCACTATGGAGGAGATCATAACTATGAGTTAAGTAACGCAGAATCACATAGAAAACATGCATATGAATGGTTGCAATGCAACTCAAAAAATTCTAAGGAATTGCTTCATCTTCCATATATGGATCCCATATGTTTTGCTGTAGTAGATCCAATGCATTGCCTTTTTCTTGGCGTAGCAAAGTGGATAATTAAATCTATTTTGTGAACAACTTCGAGTGGCACAAAATAGAATGGATCATGTTATATTACCATCTGATATTGGCCGTATTTCTCCAAAAATTGCGATTGCTATTTTGTGGGATATGTTGGATGATAATGACAGAAAGATTTTAGGATATTTTGTTTGGGCATGTAATCTTTTGGTAACAAGAATTATTACTGAAAATCATTTAAAAGAAGCACAAGAGAGATTAAAAGATATGGCTTACCTTATAGAAAACACATATGGACCAGAATACATAACAAGTAACATACATTTTGCACTTCACATTTCTGATTGCTGTCGTGATTATGGTCCTATATATAGTTTTTGGCTTTTTCCATTTGAGAGACTTAATAGATATATAGGTAGGGTACTTGATTATTTTATTATCTTCTGGTATCTTTTTTTTTAAAAAAAAAAATTAATAATCTATTATCTTTAGGATTATATCCCAATAGTAACCGAAAGATAGAGCCTAAAAATACTTTGATTGATTATCATCTAACATGTAAATGGACATCTGGCCTTTTAGATGAATCTCTTTGCTTTCTTATAAAAAAAAAAGATGTAGGTAGTTTGGCACTTACAGCAGAAAGAGAAGAGTTACAATATTTCCTATCCATGAAACATAGCATATCCAAAATATATGGTACTGAAGCAATACCAGGTCAACTACTTAAACCATCATATTTAAGAGTTGTTATTCCTTCAGAATTGCAAATGTTTCTATGTAAATGGTATGAAATGTTGTATGAGATGAAATATTAGGATTTATGGACCTACAAATTAACCAGCATGCAAGATTACAAATTGGCTCAGAAATATTTGGAAGGTCATCATGAATAAATTCAACTATTCTTGCGAAATGGAAAGCATTTAGTGATGAAACAATTGACATATATCCAGAAGAGGTTTAATATTACTTTGAATATACACTTAGGTTACCTAAAGGGTCAAGAACTCATCTTTTGGCATACTGTATGTCAAATGGTATAAGAATGCGCCTTCCTCTGATATTTGATTTAAACATAGGTTTATAGAACCAGAATTATCAAATACTGAATTATGGAAGGGTGAATACTATGAGGAAGGTTGTGATTCACTAATAGCGGTCCATAGAATATTGTGTAGAGCCACAAAAATTAGAAATATTTGAGTTGGTAAATAAAATTATATATCAATAATGCCGTTAAATAGAAAATTTAATTTATAAAATTAATTCTGAATTGAATGTATTTTACAATTATACAAACGATAAAACGTGATGAAACATAGTTGACTAAAACATTCCTTACAGCAGATTGCAAAATAACTAGTCTTGTATTTCTTTATCTTTACTTTCATATTCTTCTTCTTTTTCATCTAATTCCATGTTAGATATCTCAATATTTACTATATGTTAATGCATTTCTTTACATTCAGTGGCAATTTCAAAGATCTTGTTTTATCATTTGGTTTTTCGTAACTAATCATTACCATTAATAGTGTACTTGTAATTTAATACTAACAATACTAACAATACTAATAATATGTTTATTTTTTTTCTTTTTCTTTATTCCTTTATTCTTTTGTTCAATTATTTTGCAGGTATAGAAATATTTATTTATTAATACTAATTATTTTAATATTAACATATTTTTTTTTACCTCTTTGTTACTTTATGTCGTAATACTAACAATACTATCTACGTTTCCTTTTACTTGTACTTTAATATTAACAATAATATCCATATTTCTCTTCTTTTACTGTTTCTTTAACTCTTTTTACCTTAATACTAACAATAATAATAATATTTCTTTTATCTTTATATCTAAGGTTGCTTGCTGAAATCTAGGGGTTTAGGCAAGATGGCATTTCACCGAAAAGCGAAATTCTGCCGAAACTATATTAAAGTTATATTAAAAAACTGGTGAAACTTTGAAGAAAGGCGAAACTGCTGAAACTTATTATAAATGCTAAAACTGCCGAAATTCTGCCGAAACTATAATAAATCTATAGTAAAATTTTGACGAAACTAATTGTAGGATTTTGAAGAGGTTTAGACAAGCAACCTTATTTATATCTAATACTAATGTTACTATAACTGTTTCTCTTCTTTTTACATCTAATAATATTGTTACTCTTTACTTTTTCTTTTTTTACTTTTATGTATTTTGTATATATTAATAAATACTTGTAATTTTTTATGGTTTAATAAAATTATATCTAATAAAACATACATTATATATACTTATAGTACAGAAAATGAAGTATTATTTATCGAAATATTTTGAAATATTACAAAATATTACGTTATCTAAAATCACAGAATATTACTAATCGTTAAATTATGAAGCATTACGCATTATAGAATTTTGAAATATTTTAAAAAGTTGCGAAGTATTACACAGTAAAATTACGGAATATTACGAATCATAAAATTACGAAGCTTTACATATCATAATATTTTGAAATATTTTAAAAAGTTATAAAATATTACACTTACACAAACTTGCAGCAGGTCTAAAAACTTATGAAATATTATGTAAAATTATGAAATATTGTGAACCGCAAAATTATGGAATATTACAAATCATAAAATTACGAAGCTTTACATATCGTAATATTTTAAAATATTTTAAAAAGTTACAAATTATTATGTTTACGCAAACTTGCGGTAGATTTGAAAACTTATGAAATATCATGATGTGTAAACTTACACAACTTTTCGCACTATATAATTTCCTGATGTAATTATATCAATTATTTTGATTATGTGATTTTATAGTTAAGATTTTTTGCTTTTTAAAAAATTCTAGTATGAGACCTTATGCACTTAATATATACTATAAGTCAAGAAACCTTATACCATGCATGTGTATTTTTGACCATTTTACAAGTTTTTTTAATATATCAGAGGGATTTAGAATATCATTTTTAACTTTTATATGTAACATATTATAAAAGTATGATATAATTAAGGTTGCTGGAAAACTAGAGGGTTTTGGCAAGTTGTCGAAATGCCAAAATGGTGAAACTTTGCCAAAACTATATAAAAGTCTTATTAAAAAGTTGGCGAAACTCTGGAGAAAAGCGAAACCTGACGAAACTTATTATAAATGCTGAAACTGCCAAAACCTTGCCAAAACTATAATAAAACTATAGTAAAATCTTGGAGAAACCAATTATAGAATTTTGGAAAGGTTTAGGCAGGCAACCTTAGATATAATACAGGTGCAATAAAAAATAAACCCTTATTTTATTTATTTTATCAAATATTTTTAGAATAAATATATTTGTAACAGCCTGTTACATATCTTATTTGTAACATCCTTTTTTTATTTTTTTTTTAATAATAAATTTAGTATGTGATTTACAAATAAAATTTTTATATGCAAAATTTAATTTGGAAAACTTTTACTTAATGTTTTTAAAAAATTCTTTTGTCTTGGTTACATAACTGATCTTTTGTTTTTGTTTACATTACGCCTGATCTTAAATTTTAATTGGATAAAATTGGAGGTTGTTACAAATAAGATATGTAACAGGCTGTTACAATTAGATTTATCCATATTTTTATTATAAATACTAGTATTAGGATTTTACTCAATTGAAAAGACAGATAGTTTTTGAATAGTTTTTAAATAGTTTGATAGTTAAGAATTGTGTTGTAGTAATTGAGTTATACAAAAAGAGTATTATTTTTAGTAATATAATTCAAGATAGTTAATTTCACAAATAAAAAATTATCTATATTTTTTTTTATCATATCTAAAATCTTATATAATTTTAATGAAAATCTATTTTCTTTAACTGAACATCTAATGTTATTTCATATGATTATTTGTGATTAACTTAAGACTCTTCTATTAAATTAGACTTTAGTTAACCTGGTAAAGCATTAAAGTTTTTTGGTTACTTTAATCATTATCAGGATAACAGTATATTTTAAGAATATTTTGAATATATAAAAAATACTTTTATATTGTAATTTAAATACTTGAGTAAAAAACAAATACATTAAAAGTACATTTTAAATGTATTTTAAGTAGAATTAATTTAACAATAACTGGTAGTTAAATTCACCGGATGGTGAAATTCACCAAATAGTAAATTTTATCATAATATTTAAATATTTAAATTTTTTGTTAAAATAGTGAAATTCACCATGTATAACAATTGTGATACTAATGCATAATGCAATTTTTTTTATTTTTTTTTTAGGAGTGTCCTATGAAAAGTTCTTATACTTAAATATACTTAAAATTTTATTAAAATATACTTAAAATAAATATTAATTTTAATTCGCGATATACTTATAATATACCTAAAATATATCTAAATACTCTTAAAATATATTTTTAATAATATACTTGTTATTTGCCCAAGTACTTAAATTATACTTAACTAAAATTTAAGTACAATATAAGTGTATTTTTATATGGATTAATTTAAAATTCATCTCCGATGAATTTAAAAAAAATTCACTGAGGTGAATTTCACCTTATTTCTGTTGTATTACATAAATTTTTTAATAAATTACACAAACGGCACGGTGAAATTCACCTCAATTTCTATTGTATTACAACAATAAATTATACAATAAATTACACAACAGTATGGTAAAATTCACCTCTGGTGAATTTCACCCCTTTAATTTTCGTAACATATAAACTCAACTAACCTTTAATGTTTACTCTACCACCACTTTCCTTCTTTTGTTTTTTTGTGTTCTTTAAAGAAAAGGCCTTTCTTTTCTTAGTAATGAATAACGTTAAATCATTAGCTTATTCAAATAATCATGGTTTATACTCTTTCTCACCATATTTTGAACCTTTTAATAAAAACCTTTCACTATATTCACAACTTTTTAATATAAACTCTTTATCACATAAGTTACTACCATCTGAACTATTTTCTAAGTCTTCTGACCTACTTGCTAAACCACTTTTTGAGTTACTCTCTGAGCTTCCTTCTGAACTACAATCACCTTTTAAGCAGTTTTCTGAACTGATACTTTCTGAACTACTTTTTGAAATACCATCTGAACTACTTCCTGAAATACCATTCAAACCACTTCCTGAAATACCATCTGAACTACTTCCTGAAATACCATTCGAACCACTTCCTAAAGCACCTTCTGAACCACTTCCCAGACTACTTACTACTTTCAGAACCACTTTCTGAGCCACTCCTTGAACCACGTTTTGAAACATATTTTGAACTAGACGAAAATATAGACTCTTTAGAGCAACCTGATAATTATCAATACAATCTTGATATTGGAGATACTTTGATAACTGAAAGTCTGTTAACATATTTATGCATCAATATTGCTTGAAACGTGGATTTGGATACCAAATCTTCTGAAGTGACAAATAAAGACCAAAATGATCCAACTATCATTCAACACAAATCTTTTCGTTGTTCATCAAGTGGTAATTATGAAGTTCAAAAAATAATTGATCAAAAATCACATCGTTTACATGGTACTATCAAAACAAATTGTGAATGGTATTGTAATTTCACATTTCCCAAAACTGCGCATTGTGTAAAATGTATAATGATAAAAGACGTACATAACTATAAGATAGTAAATCCTTCTCAGGTACCGTATATAATCGCCAGATATTAGCGCTTTAGTGAAGAAATGATGCAAGATCGCCAATTTTTTATAGATTGCAAAGTAGCACTAATTGTAACATTAGAGATGCTTAAAAAAAAGTATCCTCAGCATGTATTCCATAAGCAAGATGTATACAATACAATTTATAAATTATGTCAAAGCAATAATCATGAAAAATCATCAGATTCTACATCATTACTTGATACTCTTTTTGAAAAGGTATCTCAGGATCCAACTTGGAAGGTTTTTGTTCGATATTCTGGTAATGAACATTGTTTATCAGGCGTCACCATCCCAGCAAGAATTGTACTGAAGATTTTCTAATATTGTGCTTAATGATAACACTTGTAAGATCAATAAATTTAATATGTATCTAAATGTATTTATGGTAAAAGATAATTATGGGAGATTTTGAAATATAGCTAATGCGTTGATTGAAGATGAACTTTCATCAACATATGTATGGATACTAAAGTGCTTAATGAAAGCAACAGATAATATTATTTCAAAATCTATTTGGACGGATTTTGAACCTGGACTTATCAATGCTATTTCTCAAGTTTTTCCAAATACACAGTATTTTTTGTGTTTATTTCATATTTGGCAAAATATTATAAAGCATTTGAAGACACCTTTAGGTTCAAATTTTAATAATTTTAGTAAAGCATTTTATTCATGCAGAAATTCATTAAATATAGAGATCTTTGAACAGCGCTGGGAATTTATGATAAAAATATTTCCAGAGTGTCGACGTTATATGATTAGAACACTGTATTTAGTTAGAATGAATTGGGCAAAGCTTATACTTCATTTCAATTTAATGCCAGTATTCAAAGTACACAAAGTGTGGAGTCGTTTAATGGTATTATTAAAAAATCTTTAAATGCCGCTAGTACACTCTATGATGTTCAAGCAGCAATTGATAAAAGGCATAAAGAAAAAATTAAGTATTATCAATTAGTGGACCTTAAAGCAAAATATACATCAATTGGACTCTCACATATTTCATCCCAATTTTTTCAAATGTTGATGTGATTATTGTGAAATTTTTGACATCTCTTATATTATCATTACAACAATTTCAAATTTTGCAATCTTTTACTTATGAGAAACAGATAGCACCTGAGGTATATATTTATTATTTAATAAAGTACAATAGCGTGATATTACAAAAACTTTATTAATTTACTTTTATTATATAGGATCTCAATCTACAATCTAATACTTTAAATGACAATTTTATAGAAGATGTAATTGATGAACCTCAAACAACGCTAAAATCTCTTTAGATGGTATGGATACATCAAGTATCATAGTAGAAGTATGGAAAATTCGTTGAATAGGAGGTTTACTATCTTGTAAAGAAAATTTAGTAGCTCTTTTTCTGATGGAACTCATATATATACATGTATGGAAACTGTCACCAAGGGGATTGTTTGTCGTCATTTTTGGAGAGTAATGCTTTATTCAAGTAATGCAAGGTTTCATATTAGTCTTATACCTGCTAGGTGAAATTTTAATGAAATTGGATGTTGCTCTTGAAAATTCACCAATAATTAAAGCAATAGAATCATCTAGTGAAGCTACAACAGTACTACTGACAGTGGATTTCACTCTTCAAACTTTACAATATTTTCAAGGATTATTTCACAATAAAGAAAATGTTCAACATATTATTCCTCAAAGAAATCGATTTGGAATAGTGTTTTTAACGGCTAAAACTGCAATTAATATTGCATTAGAAACTAAGAGCGATAATGAATTGGTGAAATTACTGAAGAATTTTATTTTAGCTAAACAAAGAAGTTGGAATGGTGGTGATTCAGAAAATAATGTTAATATAGAAAATTCTGAGCATAACGAAAATGATAATGTTATTCCTTTACAACAGCAGTTAATTGATCAGATAACAGATCTTCATGTTACTAGAATTCAAGGAGCTCCTTGTAAAAAAAAAATAAAGAGCGCTATTGAAATGTTAGGAAAAAATAGGGCAATACGTGAAATTACAAGTCAAGTTAATGTACAAGAGACTGATGATGGAGGTGCAATATCGAGATCATAACAAAAATGTTTATTATGCGGAAAACCAGGTCATTATCAGAAAAAATGTCCTGGTAAAAGTAGTATCAGAGAAGAAAACTAATGTTTAAAACTTTTAGTATTATGTATATACAATTTATATATTGTTATGTATGCAAAATATGATACTAGCTAGTTATGTTCATTTAAGACGGCAAAAACTTTATTTTTTACGTTATAATATGAATTTTTTTTTCTTATGATTTTATTTGTATGAAACATTTATTTTTACTTGACCGTTATAATAAATACTTAATAAAAAGAATAAGTATTCATGCTTAAAATGTAAACAATTTAAAATATAAATTTTATTATTTTTAATACAAAAATTTTTTGTGATGCAGTGAATTTTACCTTTCGGTAAGTTTTACCTCTGGTAAGCATTAAAATTGTCCTTTTTATATAACAGATAATTTAAGTACTTAGGCAAATAACAAGTATATTATTAAAAATATATTTTAAGAGTATTTTAGGCATATTTTAGGTATATTATAAGTATATCGCAAATTAAAATTGATACTTATTTTAAGTATATTTTAATAAAATTTTAAATATATTTTAAGTATAAAAACTTTTTATAGGGGTGGCTTTAACGCTTTGATGCTTTAAACATTTGCTTAGACTTTAATGTTGTAAGGTAAGTAGCATTTCGTTTTTTTTTTATTTGTTTTTATTTTTTTTTTTAACTTGAAAATATTACTAACATTTCCTCTTCTTTTTTTTTAGGAATGGTTGAATGACTCCAGAAATCAATCTGGTCCAGTTTTATAATTAAAGGTATTTTTCATTTTACACTTTTGGTTTCTTTGTTTTTCATATTTCATTTTTACTAACTTTCTTTTATTCTTTTCTTTGCATTTGTTATTTCATTTTTGCTCCATTTCTTTTGCTCTGTCTCTTTACCTATATCTTTTATTTCTTCCTTCTGCCCCATTTTATTCCTTTCGCTCTATTTCTTCACTATGTTCTTTTTATTTCTCCTAGTTTTGCGATCAAAAGTATATTATTTTCATTTGCTTTTAATTTTTTCTTTCGTTCTTTATATTTTGTTTTTATTAACTTTATTTTATCCTTTTTTTTACATTTACCATTTCATTTTTGCTATATTTTTTTCGCTACATTTTTTTGCACTATTTCTTTTATTTTTTCCTTTTGCCCCATTTTGTTCCTTTCACTCCATTTTTTCACTACGCTCTTTTCATTTTTCCTAATTTTACGATCAAAGGTATATTTTTTTATTTTGCTTTTAGTTTCTTCTTACACTTTTTATATTTCATTTTTACTAATTTACTTTATTTTATTCTTTTCTTTATATATATATATATATATGTGTGTGTGTGTGTGTGTTTGTCATTTCATTTTTGTTACATTTCTTTTCATCTCATTTCTTTTGCTCTAATCCTTTTGCTTTATTTTTTTCATTCCATTTCTTTTAATTCCATTTCTTTCAATATATTCTTTTCATTCTGTTTTTTTCACTTTATTTTATTTTCATTTTCATTCCTTCCATTTTTATATTTCTTTTCTTTTTTTTTATTTCATCTTCTTTCATTTTATTCTATTCCATTTTCTTTATTTTCTTTTTCTTTCTTTCCTTTCATCTTTTTTCATCCTTCATCAATACTATTATTTCTCATTGGTTTTCTTATTTTTTGTTGTTTTGTTTTATTATTTTCATTATACTTTATCACTTATGATTTTTTTTCACTATTATGCAACTTTTATATTCTTTTCACAAGTTGCAAATAAATTTTATATCTCTTTTTCTACTTTATTTTTCTTATCTTTTTTTGTTATTTACTACTAGTCCTGTTATAAAATCAACTTAAATTAATAAATAAACGTATATGATTCTAAAATTTAGTTTAACATTATAAGTTTAATTAAGGTTACCTGCCGAAACTCATTTGGCCTGGTGCCGAAAGCCGAAACTCTTTTATTAGTGCCAAAACTGCCGAAATGCTGAAACGCCGAAACCTGCCGAAATGCCGAAACTGCTGAAACTATTTGCAAGTTTCAGCATAGTTTCGGCATAGCTAATACTAACATCTTGATATAGTTTCAGCATAATTTCGGCATTCTATAATAATTTTTTTTCATTAATTTAATTCCAATATATATATACGTAATTAAATATTTTATTATATTATTTATTTTATTGTAATAAACCAATTTTTATAAACAATGGTATACTATAAGAAACACACTCATTTCTTCGAAGCAATTAAATAAAACCTGTCTCTTATACACATC